GAGAGAGAGAGAGAGAGAGAGAGAGAGAGAGAGAGATGATGATGATAAATTTAAGCAGGATATTCACCTCCCACTTGGAAGGTTGAGAGTTCAATCCTAAGTAGCAGCAGATGTTTCTCTCTGGATGCAAACAATATACAGTATATCTGCTGCAAACTCCACGTGGAAGGAAGGGCATCCAGCCAATAAATGCTCAGCTCCATCCAGCCACCCCAACTCTATCTCGAATTAAGGAATTACGGGGTCATAAAAAGGAATTTTTTTATTCTATCCACTGAATGCATTCTCTAAGATTTAGAGAATGTTTTAAGAAAGTCTGCTAATGGCCCCTCAGCTCTGTGCCTTAAATCAGGAATCTCAGATCAAAATCCCGTTTTTGCTTAAATGGAGTAAAAATGTACTGTTGGCCTACCAGGTTAGCTGACGCTCTATTGATTTGGAGGGAAGCGATTGCACATATCAAGTACATGTGTGATCTCTTTTTCAATTCCTTTTCTTCTGCAGAGGTTACGACACAAGCCTGTCCAAGCATTTGCCCATCTATCAAACAAGGCCTGCGCCCTCGATGCCTTGCTTGGGAAAAATAAAACAAAAGTCAGGTAGAGTGGAAATCCTTTTGTCTCATATATCTATGCCAGGTCAGAATTTATTTATTTTGTATAGATTTACAGATAATCAGAGTTGGAAGGGGCCTTGTAGGTCATCTAATCCAACCCCCAGCCCAAGCAGGAGACCATACACCATTTCTGACAAATGGCAGTCCAATCTCTTCTTGAAAGTCTCAAGTGATGAAGCTCCCACAACTTCTTTTCCATTAGTCGATTGTTCTCACTTTCAGGAAATTCCTCCTTATTTCCAGGTTAAATCTCTCCTTATCCAGTTTCCATCCATTATTCCTTGCTGGCCTTCAAGTGCTTTAGAAAATAGCTTGATCCCCTCCTCTCTGTGGCAGCCCCTCAAATATTGGAAGACTGCTATCCTGTCTCCCCTGGTCCTTCTCTTCCCTAGACTAGCCAAGCCCAGTTCCATTTTAGCAGATTAAATTCTCAGCTATACTCAAAGGTCTGTTAGAATTCAAGAATTACTTGCTTTTCTTTTCTCAGTATTGACTTCCAATTCATTGCCTAACAGTCTAAATGTCATATCAATTCAGCAGCCACAACAGTGCAGAGAACTACAAATAACTACCTCTACATTCTACTGCAGAGATGTCCAACCTTGGCAACTGGGTACTTCAATTCCCAGAATTCCCCAGCCAGTATTGGGGAATTCTGGGAATTGAAGCCTACAAGTCTTAAAGTTGCCAAGGTTGGTCACCTCTGTTCTACCACATCAAAAGGAAAGCCAGACATTTTTGAGGTGCTAATTCAACTCGTTAGCTAAATTCTCATTTTTCTTCCCTTCCCTAATGCTCTAGCTACTTAATAAAATTCACCCAGCAAACTCCAAGCCTGTCCTTTGACAATGCCATAGCTCTCGCTGGAGAAGCATCTGATATTCTTTCCAAATGCTGTACTAGTTTGGAAGAACGTTGTTTCCAGAATGAGGTGAGTGATCAGGAAAAGTAGATCTTATTTCTACAATTTGTAGAACTAGATGATGCAGCTTTTTCTGGACTTGACTTCCAGCAGGGCAGTAGTGAAGAGTAGGAGTAGTTATGGGGGCAGAAGAATCCTCTAACCATATCTGAAGATGTTATAATATCAGGTCTGCTCTAAGTTCTAACTTATAATGGTCAAGGCCTGGTCAACTTGTGTGGTTCACTTGCTATGCCCTAAGCTATCAACAGTCCTTGACATACGACCACAACTCAGGCCAAAGTTTCCATGGTTAAGGGATATAGCTGTAAAGTGAGTTTTTTTCCCCATTTTATAACCTTGTTGCCAGAGTTCTTAAATGAAGCACTGCAGTTGTGAAGTTAGAAACATGGGTTATTAGTGAAACTGGCTTCCCTGTTGACTCGGTGTCATGCCCCTGTCGGAGTCTGAATCTAAGGAGGAAGACAAACAGCTGACAGAGAGTGGGAGTGAGGCTCCGTTGGGTGTGGAGGAAACTGGGGAAGGGCAAAGTCCAGCTGGGCAGAGCAGGGAAGAGGTAGAACAAGGGAGAGGGAGTTCAGAGGAAGACCCAGGCCCACCCCCTCTTCAACCTAGGGCACGCAAGGAGGAATGGAGAAGAGAGCAACGTGGGTTGCGTGGCTTATGGGGGAAGAAAGGGCCCTGATTCCCTTCATTAGCCACAGCTGGGAGGAGAGTTTAAAAGAAATGCATGCTGAGTGCAGCAGCTGCTGGGAGCAAAAGTGGGTTAATCTTGCGTTGACTTTGTTTGTCTGTGTTCCTGGTGTCTTCCCAACCGTGTTATTGCCATGCCTTCACATCTGGAATTCTTGTTCCTGCCCTGCCAAACTAATTACCTCATTTTGCCTTGATTGGACTTATAGTTACAGTTTTTGTTGACCACGTTTTGGATTTGATTCTCTGCAGCCAAAGGCTGTTCCTGGGAGAGTTTTTCTCCAGCCAGAAGGTAACCAGGTCATTGGGGGCAGAGCTAATAAAGGAACTTTATAAAGGTGGGATTAGGAATGGATTTCCAGATGGAAAAAATGCAGACTACAGGAATCCTTTGCAAATGACCAGCTGTCTGCAAGGACTATAAATACTTCCATTCCCTATTATCATGTCAGAACTGAAGAAGCTTCTTGGATGAGAAGTGAAACATCTTCGAAAGAAAAAACAAGAAAGTCCAGTTGCCTCCTGAAAAAGCACCTTTTACATAATGGTCATACATAAGTGTAAAAAACAATCATACGCTGTTTTTTCGGTGCTGTTATAACCTCAGTCACTAAAAAAAAATGGCTATATGTCTACGACTACCTATATAGAAGACCGGAGGTGGGATCCTCTCACTTCCCAACAGAAATTTTGGCCTCTATTATGGTCGTAAATCAAGGGCAACCTATATTTTTATTATAAAAACAAACCAAAAGGAAACAGTTGATGGTTGAGTCATGATCCCTTCGGTCAAATGCTGTCAGTCCAGTTGTGTTGGTTGTATTGCAACGGCAATGCTCTCCTGTCTTCCAGCTCAAACTTCACATCGCCCACATCTGCAATACTGCCTGCAGTAGGAACGAAAGACTCCAAAGTTGTTGCAGTTCTAAAGATGACGTGAAAAAATACTTGTGCATTTACTTGCTCCCGTGGGATAGGCCTTCCCAAGACCCTCAGGCTCCCAGTTCAGTTGACGAAGGCGTTTGCAGAAAAGATGGCGAAGTAGACATATATCGGTAAGGGGGGGGTTGGCACCATTTTTCTCCTTCTCTGGGGGCAGGATTTGCATGCAGTGCTTTCCAACCACTTCATGGGGATGTGAAAAAGAAGGTCACTTGCTCTAGAACCCAGAAATGTATTTATTTCTTTAGATTTATACACCGTCTTCCCTTCTGGAGCTCAGGAGAACATACGTAGTTCTTATTCACTTCTTTCTCCAACATCAGTTGGGTGAAGTATGTTGGAGTGAAGGAGAGTATCTGGGCTACGGTCACTCAGGAATTTATTTATTTATTTATTTATTTATGTATTTATGTATGTATTTATTTATTTATTTATTTATTTATTTATATTTTTGTCAATTACTTACAAGATAATAGGTATAAGTAAAAACATAGTTATGAATACATGGATACATATAAGAGAAATAAAAAAATATATAAAACAACAGGACAGGGACAGTAGGCATGTTGGTGCGCTTATGCACGCCCCCTACAGACCTCTTAGGAAAGGGGTGAGGTCAATAGTAGACAGTCTAAGGTTAAAATTTTTGGGGTTTGGGGAAGAAACCACAGAGTCAGGTAGAGTATTCCAGACCTTGACCACTCTGTTGCTGAAGTCGTATTTCCTGCAATCAAGTTTGGTGCGATTAACCTTGAGTTTGTATCTATTGTTTGCTCTTGTGTTGTTATGGTTGAGCTGAAGTATTCATTGACAGGTAAGTCATTGCAATGTATGATTTTATATACCATACTTAGATCAGACCGAAGACGGCGTAATTCAAGGTTTTCTAGGTCTAGAATTTCGAGTCTAGTGGCATAAGGTATTCTGCAAGAAGTAGAGGAGTGGAGAACTCTTCTTGTGAAATATTTCTGGACTTTCTCAGCTGTGTTAATATCAGATACGTAATGCGGGTTCCAGACTGATGAGCTGTATTCAAGTATTGGTCTAGCAAATGTTTTGTATGCTCTAGTTAGTAGTGTGATATTACCAGAGGAAAAAGCTACGTAGGATTAGGTTAACAACTCTTAACGCCTTTTTGGCATTTTTGAATTGGCCAGGATTAAAACCAAACTGGGTCTCCAAACTCATCACTACATCTCTTTGATCTTGCAAAGGCAACGTTATCCAGAGTGATCAATATTTGTCAGTATTCCCGGGGTTATTTTCAGGGGCGGGCTGCTGGGGGTTCTCAGGGATTCGGGAGAGCCCGTAGTTAAGATTCTGTGCAGTTCGAAGAACCCCCTCCCCTAAATCCCAGTCCTGGCTGGCCCCGCCCACCCCTCCCCTCCTCTCCCAGGAGTCCCCACGTGGCCCGTTTTGGATGCAGGCAAGTGCAGGGCGTGGCCGGAGTCTCGCGCATGGGAGGGGGGGACGGTCCCTCCTAGCTTTTCGTTTCTTCATCCTCTCAGCTGATTGGCTTGTTAGGGTTGCGTGCGCGTTAGGGACGCATGCGCACGATCACCCACCGAACCGGTAGCGACTAAGGTAGGATCCCACTACTGAGAGGTATGTGTCATTGTTGAAGCTGTGGTGCTCAAGGCTGCAATGGATACCAAAGTTCCACTTGTCTGCCATATTTTTTTTCCCCCTCTTTGGCAGTAATATTTATGACGTGGCCCGGATATACACCCGTGCTCCAGAGGCTCTTCTCATTACCTTGTATTCTGCCAGCCAAGCTGCCGCCGCCGCTTGCTGTGGCCTACCAGATCCCAAAGCGTGTTTCACGGAGAAGGTAAAAACTCAGAATCTTCTCAGACGGTGTCGGGCAACAAAAGAAGGTCTGAAATAAACGGATGTATTTGCTAAACAGCCTATCGATGGGAATCTTCTCAACTAATGGTCAGCACCACCTGCTTGGAGTTAGATGAAGGTCAAGGGAATTTGAGGAAGATTGTAGTTTTCTTAGGGCTAGGTAGGGATTCTAGGCTGATCCCACTTTTAACTCCACCCCCTGGTTCTGTTACTCGTCTCCTACTGATGTAGATGTAGAGACAAAGTGGGAGGGAGGGAGGGAAAGAGAGAGAGAGAAAGAGGTATAGGAAGATGGACAGAGAGAGATGAGAGAGAGAGAGAGAGATGAGAGAGAGAGAGAGAGAGAGAGAGAGAGACATGATAGAGAGAGAGGGATAGAGATAGAGATAGAGATATAGGGAAAGGAAGAGAGGGGAGCAAGAGAGGGAGAGAGATAGAAATAGAGATAAAGATAGAGGGAGAGGGAGAGACAGGATAGAGAGAGACAGGATAGAGAGAGACAGGATAGAGATAAAGATAGAGATATAGGGAAAGGAAGAGGGGGGAGCAAGAGAGGGAGAGAGATAGAAATAGAGATAAAGATAGAGGGAGAGATAGACATGATAGAGAGAGAGGGATTGGGATAGGGATAGGGAGAGAAATAGACAGACAGACAGACAGACAGACAGACAGACAGACAGACAGACAGACAGATGTGGGTGGGCGGGTGGGCAGGCAGTCAGGTAGGTAGGTAGGTAGAGATGAGAGAGGCAGAGTCAGGTGTGAGATCCACATCTGAAGGTGCAATTAAACTGATTTATTGCCAAAACCTATGGAGTGAAATAAAGGTCAACATAACTCAAGGGAGGTTGGACTTAGTTTTCTTGTGGCTATGCAAGGATTCTCGGCTGATCGCTCTTTTAACTCTGCCCCAGGTTCTGCCACTCTTTCTCCTAGAGAGGATGGGTGCCCATGGGTGAGATGCTACCTTCAGGGAAGCAGGACATATTTTGTTCCCACTTCTGACATCCTTAGAAATTTCCCGAAGAAATCTCTATGTCAACTGCTGGAATCAGACCAGATCAGATTTATATCTCACAGGTCATGCGACCTAGGATTGCATTGGCTTTTTGGGCTGCTGCCGCACACTGCTGGCTCATCTTTAAGTAGTTGTCCACTAGGGCTCCAAGATCTTTCTCACAGTACCGTATTTATCGGCGTATAACACGCACTTTTTTCCCCCTGAAAATAGGGGGCAAATGATGTATGCGTGTTATACGCCGATATAATGTTAAGAAGCCTTCGGTGAATGCTGCTGGGATCGGGGATCAAGGACACAAATGAAAGAAGGGGAGGGAGGAAGCAACCGAAGCCTGTCCTTCTCTCTGGGTCAGCTCTCTCAGTCGCTCTCTCGCTCCTCCACCAGCACAGGAAGAAACTGCTTCAAAGAAGCGGGGGGGGGGGCTTTTCCTGTCGCCGCAGCTTCCCTGAAGCGCCCGTTTCTCCCCCACCCCCACCCCGTCCGCCCGCCCGCCCGCCCGCAGTGCTCCGTTCTGCCTGCCTGCCTGCCTTCGTTAATGGTTGAATCGGAACAGCTTCGGCTGAGTAAAAGAGGCGAATAGTTATTATTCTCAGCCGAAGCTGCTCCCAAACAACCAGAAACTAAGACAGGCAGGCAGAATTTTTTTTAATTTTTTTTCCTGAAATTTCCCTCTTAAAATGAAGATGCGTGTTATACGCCTGTGCGTGTTATACGCCGATAAATACGGTAACTGCTATTGAGCCAATTTTTCACCTAGTCCAGTGTTGGCTCACCTTTTCATCGTCGCATGCCGAAAGTGCGCACTTGCGTGCATGTGCATGCAGACACGTGCCTGCACCCATAATGCAATGCACATGCATGCTCTCCCCGCCCCCCGCACATACCCCCCCACGCTCCCACACACCCCCTGTGCATGCACACGTGACACCCCCTGCGCTCCCCCCCACCCCTTACACACGCATGCGTGTCTCCCACATGTGCCCCGCCCCCACGCATGTGCAGCAGATACCCGACAATCAGCTGGCTGGTGGGGGGTGCATGTTACGAACTTAGCTAACGCGTTCATTAACAACCCTAATAGTTTTACTTCAACAGCAGGCTCATAATCCTGCACTTTTGATTGGCCCGCGAATAGCGAGTCGTGATTGGTCGTTTCTGGCTGATCTGATTGGCTGACAGCGGGTCGCCTCTGATTGGACGCTTCTTAGAGCGGTAAACTCAAATATAAAAGAGCTGCTGCTGCCCAAGTATTTCGCTCTGTTCTGAAGTCACTAATAAAGAGTTGAAGTCACAGTTCAGTGCCTTGTCTCCGTTCCTTGCGCCTATGCTCAGGACTTAACAGTGCACACACCTGCGCAGTGGAGCAGAGCTGGGGTGACGGCTCACGTGCCGGCAGAGGTGGCTCTGCGTGCTACTTCTGGAACGCGTGCCATAGGTTCACCATCCTGGACCTAGTCTGTACCTATACAGATCGTATCATTCTAGTGCAGGGGTGTCAAACTCAAGGCCCGTGGGCTGGATCCAGCCCGCAGGGTGCTTAGATCTGGCCTGTGGGGGACGCCCTGAAAACAGTGAAGGACCGGCCCGTGGTGCCTCTGCCACAAAAAGGGAGCTCGGGGGGGTCATGCGTGGCTCCGTTTTCAGCCACAATGACGTCCGGCAGCCTTCTGCCAGCAAAAACAGAGCTCACACGCTGGCAGGAGGCCATTGTGACCGAAAATAACGTGGAGCTGTCACGAGTGACGTGGAGCTGTCACGAGTGACGTGGAGCTTGCCATGTCCATCCTGGCCAGCCCCTCCTCTGCCCCCACCGAGGTCAAACACAATCCTGATGCGTCCCTCAATGAAATTGAGTTTGACACCTCTGCTCTAGTGGATTGATGTGGATGTTGCCCTGATCATCATCTCTTCAGTTTCTTTCCCAGAATTCATAGCTTGTTTACCTGGTAGTCCTCAACTTACGACAATAACAGCCCCCCCCCCAAAAAAAATGACTTATGGCCGTTTTTCAAACTTACGGCCACTGTAGCATCTCTACCATCATATGATCAAAATCCAGATGCTTGGCAACTGACTCATATTTATGACAGTTGCAGGGTCCCTGGGTCATGGGATCCCCTTTTGCGGCCTTCCGACGAGCAAAGTCAATGGCGGGGAGCCAAATTCATTTAACGACCGTGTTACTAACATAAGAACTGCAGGGGTTCACTTAACAATTGTGCAAGAAAAGTAATAAAATGGGAGGGAAACTCGCTTAACCACTGTCTCGCTTAGCAACAGAAATGTTGGGCTCAACTGTGGTCGCAAGTTGGGGACTACCTATATTGGGGGCACTTTGCTGGAATACTATATAACCATGATGGCAAACCTATGGTACGCGTGCCATAGGTGGCATGGAGAGCCATTTGTACAGGCACGCGAGGCCCAGCCAAACTTACATGCACTGCGCATGCGTGCGCCTCCCAGCTGATTTTGGGCCCGTTTGAGGCCGTTTTTCCCCTCCCGGAGGCTCGAGGAAAGCCTCTACAGCCTTGGGAGGCCAAAAAACAGGCCTTCTGGAAATACCGGAAGTGACGAAACGGGCTCATTTTCAGCCTCCCGAGGCCTCAGAGGCTTCCTTCAAGCCTCCGGGAGGGCGAAAATGGTCTCCCTCAGGCTCCAGAGTCCCTCCAGAGGCTGAAAACAGGCACGTCTGGAAATTCCCGAAGGCCCGTTTTTCGGCCTCCCGAGGCTGCGGAGGCTTCCCTCGAGCCTCCAGGAGGGCGAAAAAGGCCTCAAACGGGCCGAAAATCATGTGCAGTGCAGGTAAGGGGGCAGGGTGGGGGTGTTGCGCGTGCATACGCAGGGGGGGCAGGGCGCATTGCATTGTGGGTGTCGGAACACCACAACAAAAAGGTTCGCCATCGCTGCTATGTGATATGGCAATATTCTTCATTAATGCAATGATACTTTTTTCTGAATTCTAGGCTTCAAAAACAATAGCCCCATTGCACGCTTTGATTGAAAAAGGAAATGAGATTTGTGGGGAATATACAGATCATACCCATGTGGAATTCCTCAAGAGGTAAAATTTCCACAATATTTGCATGGAAATTTGTATTTTATACTGCTTTAGAGGTTGGCTATCTGACTAATAATCATTTTCTCAAACAAATCAACTGAAATGGATGGTTTCAATTTTCAATCAGATAAGATGCGTTTGATTAAGCAGATTGACAGCTCTGCACTTTTTTTACCCCTGGGATTCCATATAAGGAATTATAAATTGCTTTCTTGCTTATTCTTATTTGTTTTTCAGGCAGAAGAACATTTCAATGTGCTTCCTTAGTTGTAAGGTCCCTGTAGAGATATGGGAATTCCTCTTTAAAATGCCAATTGCAGAAATTTGGGTTATTTGGTCCAAAAAAAAGAAAAAGTGTCCATATTTTATCTTGGTTTCACTGCTCAGCCTCCACCTGCCTTAGTTTTATGCCCTCTGGGTAGATTGGAATAAAAGTACCATAGTCCTCAACTTACAAGCAGAATTGAGCCCAACATTTCTGTTGTTAAGTGAAAAGTTAAGTGAGTTTTGCTCTGAGGCCATGTCATCCCTGTTTGCGACTTTCTGACAAGCAATGAGAGGGAAGAGAAAAAGAGAGGGAGGGAGAAAGAAGGAAGGAAAGAAAGAAAAAGAGAGGGAGGAAGAAAAGAGGAAGAAAGGGAGGGAGGTTGTATGAGGGAAGGGAAAAGAGGGGAAAAAGAGAGGGAGGGAGGGAGGAAGAGGAAAGAAGGAAGGAAGGCAGGCAGGAAGGAAGGAAAAATGAGGGAAGGGAGGGAAGAAGAAGGAAGGAAGGAAAAATGAGGAGAGGGAGGGAGGAAGAAGGAAGGAAAAATGAGGGAAGGGAGGGAGGAAGAAGGAAGGAAGGAAAAAGAGAAGGAGGAAGAGGAAGAAAAAGGAAGAAAGGGAGGGAGGGGGAAGGAAGGAAGGAAGGAAGGAAGGAAGGAAGGAAGGAAGGAAGGAAAAAACGAATATAGGTAGTCCTTGACTTACAACAGTTCATTCAGTGACCTATTTAAAACGAGGCAAAACTCACTTAACAACGGTCTCACTTAGCATAAGAGCCTTTGGGTTCGGCTGTGGTTTTATGCTGAGGTCTACCTGTACTATATTTTCTTGCACCTGAATATATGAAATCAGATCTTGGCTACAGTATTTCTGAGGAATCTTGTGTTTTCTTACCTTAAAAAGTGGGGTTTAGTAACATCTTCCTGTTTCAAATTGCAGGCTTAAAGCAAATGCATTAACCCTGTTTCCCCCTGGTACTTTGGATGCTGAAAATCAGGCCTCTGCTCTGGTGGAACAAAGGACTAGTTACGTAACCAAGTGCTGTCATCTGAATGCACCTCCAACGTATTGTGGAATACAGGTAAGGTTCCAGCTCACAACTCTGTAGAGATTCTCAGCCCTCCAGATCATGGTTGTCCCAAAGGTGCTTTTTCAGGAGGCAACTGGATTTTCTGGGTTTTTTTCTTTGAAGACGTTTTGCTTCTCATCTAAGAAGCTTCTTCAGCTCTGACTGGAGGGTGGGGAATGGAAGGATTTATATTCCTTGCAGACAGCTGGTCATTTGCATCCTTTTAGAGGGTCGTTGGGGCCACTTGGAAGTTTATCTCTGTCCTCAGGGGTTTTGTTGTTTTGTTTTTTGTTGTTTAGGGTGGGTTACTAATGGAACATATAGTTTAATGACTCTTTCAAGTTCAAGCAAGAAGGCGTTATAATGTTCTTCTGTAGTGTTACAGAACACAATGTGCCAATCAAGAGATGATAAGTCGGCAGCTAAGAGTTCATAATTGGCTTTTTTTTTTAAAATTGTATTTTGGAGCTCCATCATTATGATCTTCTTTTACAGGATGTAAATTTAGACAAAAGTCAATCATGCTATGGTCACTGTTTGAAAATGGTTCCCGTATTTCTGGCCATAAATTGAGTTTGAGCTGTTGCAGAAGATGAGATCGAGGCAGTTGTTTAGTCTGGTGTTGTTATATACTAATTGATCCAGTACTAATTGTATAGGATTGAATGAATGGGTTCAGATGTACATTTATTTAGTGTCCAATTTATAAAAGGTAAGTTGAGGTCACCAAGGAAAATAAGAAGGTGTGGGCAAGAGGCAGCCCATGTCAGTAGTGAAGTTAACACCTGAGTGGTGCTCCTGGTTCCTGTAGTCTGCATTTCTTTTTCCCTCTGGAAATCCATTCCTACTCCCACACCATTCAAAGAGAGTTCATCAAAGACTTTTAGTTAGAAAATTTGGGGTGAACCCCCTTTGAATGGTTTGGGAGTAGGAATGGATTTCCAGAAGGGAAAAAATTGCAGACTACAGGAACCATTTGCACTACCAACCCTGATGACACAGATAAACCTCCAAGTGGCCTCAACGACCCTCTAAAAGGATGCAAATGACCAGCTGTCTGCAAGGAGTATAAATCCTTCCATTCCTCACCATCCAGTCAAAGCTGAAGAAGCTTCTTGGATGAGAAGTGAGTTGTCTTCAAAAGAGGGGAAAGAACAATGAAGTCCAGTTGCCTCCTGAAAAAGCACTTTTGGGACCTCTGAGTTCACAAGCACTCCTTTTAGCAAAAGAGTGTTTTAAATCATGAGAGCTGGTACACTCTTCCAAACAAAGAACACCACCGTACCTCAAATTCCACACCTGACTGTTCGCCATAACTTATTCAAGTTATGCAAGACCGAGTGACAAATTTCTGATCTGTCTTCTATGCTCTGCATGTTTGGGGAACTTAGCAATAGCGTTTAGACTTTTAGATACTACCTCGTAATAATGGTTTACACATTCTCGGAGGGTGGGGTTAAAATGTCAGTATTATTTGCATTTTATCCCCCAATTATCTGGGTTCTCATTTCACTAACCTCAGAAGGATGGAAGGCGGAGTCAACCTTGAGCCTCATCGGGATCAAACTCCAGTCTGTGGGTAGAGTTTGCCTGCAATACTACATTTTAACCATTGTGCCACTACTATGGGTTCTTGTTGCATCCTTAAATAATTGGGAAAATCTAAAAGCCTGACTCGGCAATTAAAATTCCAAAAAACATTCTCCTTGTGGGCAACTGCAGGAGTTAAACTTCTGGATAAAACTTCACAAAATCAGAGAAAGAACGAGGACTCTGCAGTCTGAAATTATAGGTTGCCTACCTTTGACTTAAACCATAATATGGTTTATTTAATTTGGTGTTCTTATTCTTCAAATTATAGTTGCTCAAACTACAGTTTAGGGCTTCACAAGTTGTGTGAACCCTGTTAATAAAAGGTTGATTAAATCAGCCATGAATAAACCATTGTCCTTAGCACAACAGTGTAAGTGAATCAGGTCACCATCATTTATTTATTTATTTATTTGTCAGGTGATTATAAGATAACAGGTATAAGTATAAACATAGTTATGAATACATGAAATGGATACATATAAGAAAAAAAACCAGTAGGCCATGGACAGTAGGCACATTGGTGTGCTGATGCGCGCCCCCTACAGAGCTCTTAGGAAAGGGTCACTAGTAGACAGTCTAAAGTTAATGTTTTTGGGGTTTGGGGAAGAAACTACAGAGTCAGGTAGAGTATTCCAGACATTGACCACTCTGTTGCTGAAGTCGTATTTCCTGAAATCAAGTTTGGTGCGGTTAACTTTGAGTTTGTATCTATTGTGTGCTCTTGTGTTGTTATGGTTGAAGCTGAAGTATTCATTGACAGGTAGGACATTGCAATGTATGATTTTATATACTATACTTAGATCGGACCGAAGGCGGCGTAGTTCTTGGTTTTCTAGGTCTAGAATTTCAAGTCTGGTGGCATAAGGTATTCTGCAACGAGTAGAGGAGTGGAGAATTCTTCTTGTGAAATATTTCTGGACTTTCTCAACTGTGTTAATATCAGATACATAATGCAGGTTCCACACTGATGAGCTGTATTCAAGTATTGGTCTAGCAAATGTTTTGTATGCTCTAGTTAGTAGTGTGATATTGCCGGAGAAAAAGCTACACAGGATTTGACAGGTGTTAGTTAATTGGGATATATTGGCAGATCAAATTAATATATGGATTGGAGACTAGACTAGGAAGTCAGAAAAACATCTAAGAATAAGCTGTGTTTGTGTGTATAAGACTTGTTCTCAGGGCTGGTCTGCTGGGGGTTCACAAGGGTTCAGGGGATCCTCTAACTAAGATTTTGTGCAGTTCGGAGAACCCCCAAATCCCACCCCTGGCTGGCCCCACCTCCCCTCCCCTCCCCTCTCAGGAATCCCCATGTGGCCCATTTTGGATGTCAGGTAAGTGCAGGGCCTGCACGGAGGTTCGGGGAGGGTGAAAAACAGGCCTCTTGGAAGTTCAGGAAGGCCGGAAATGGGCCCGTTTCTGGCTTCCAGAGAGCCTCCGGAGCTCAGGAAGGCCGTTTTCGCCCTCCTGGAGGCTCGAGCAAAGCCTCCGGAGCCCGGGGTGGGCAAAAACACCCCTCGCCGTGGTGCAGGAGGCCGACTAGGCCACACCCACCATGGTCACGCCCACTCAGCAACCGGGCAGAGAACCCTTTGCTAAAAATTTTGAAGCCCACCCCTGCCTGTTCTGCTTAGAGAATATCCATCACATAAAACTTTGTTTTTCTACAGCAATTGATGAGTCAAGTTTAGCTGGATGATACCAGATTGAGTAGAGAATGGGACGATTGTGAAAATCTTTTACCCCCAAAATATACACTAAAGATTTGAAAGCTGTAATTGAACGAATCCATCAAAGTGTTCTTGTTGTTGTTCTTGTTTTCAGGTCAAAGACCCAGCCGCTACCATTTGTTTCCTAGCGGACTGCATAGAAAACGAATCCTGAGGACATTCTTTTTTAAAAAAAAAAAATACTCAGGTAGGTGAGACACTAGAAAAAGGCTGAGGCTGGGCACACCGAACATGATAAAATCTTAATATTGTTAAAGAAAACACAAGTGATTTTTAATATCTTAGGATAGTATTGAGATCATATGAAGGTTTAGTACTGCTTTGGTAAGGTCTCGCTTGGAAGACCGCATCCAGTTTTGTTCACCACATTATAAAGAAGATGCTGAGATTCTAGAAAGAGTGCAGAGAAAAGCAACAAAGACTGGAAACTAAACCATATGAGGAACAGTTGTGGGAATTGGGTATGGCCAGTCTAACAAAGAGAAAGACTAGGAGTGACATGATAGCAGAGTTCCGCTATCTGAGAGGCTGTCAAAAGAAAAGAGAGGGTCAAGCTATTTTCCAAAGCACCCAAAGTGATTTTGGCCCCCATTTTGTGGCCGGTTTCTCCAAGGCAACCGAGGGCAGGTCAAGAAGCAGCAGGTGGAAACTCATCAAAGATAGATCTAATCTAGAATTAAGGAGAAATTTATTGTCAGTGGGAACAATTAAGGAGTGGAACATCTTTCCTTCAAAGTTTAGGTTCTCCATCAGTGGAGGTTTTTAAGAAGGGATTAAACAACCATTTGTCCCGGAGGTATACAGTCACCTGCTTGAGAAGGGGGTTGGACTAGAACAGGGGTCTCCAACCTTGGCAACTTTAAGCCTGGAGGACTTCAACTCCCAGAATTCCCCAGCCAGCTTTGCTGGTTGGGGGATTCTGGGAGTTGAAGTCTTCCAGGCTTAAAGTTGCCATGGTTGGAGACCCCTGGACTGCAAGACTCTGTTAGTCTGTATTCTGTATTCTCAACTGTAATGTGGCTTACCATTATGGGAACAGATTCAGACAATGGCTGAGCTATCATAATGCAATGAAGTCCAAACTACCCAACTCCATTTTTTTTGCCTAGACTAATGATTGTGTGAATCCAGCTGGCCATTATATTCTCTGCTACACCCCATTCAGGATTCAATAAATGTTTTTTTTTATAATGTCTTTATCATATTTGAACCCCAAACATTAAAATACAAACTAAGCTAAAAGGGAAAGGGAATACAGTAACAAAAAATAAATAAATATAAGTAACCCCAAAAATTATACATGAAACCAATTTATAAGAAAACCACCCACCTAAGTGGTATCTATCTATTCACATTTGTATGCTTTCAAACTGCTAGGTGAGCAGGAGTTTGGGCAAGGAAAGGGAGCTCACCCCATAATGTGGCACTTGGGTCTCGAACCCAGACTGTCAGCTTTCCAGATGGCAAGCTCAGGGTCTTTAACCACTGAGCCATCGTGCCCCCAATAACCCCGGTAACTATTGTGATTTATTAGTAAGAATATGCTCCATTGATAACATTTCAAAATTTGCGTGGAGGCCTGATTCGTAGAACTGAATTCCCCTTCCTTTATAACATTCTTCTAAGAATGGTGGGGGCAGAAATTCCATACCAAAGAAATACGTAACTTTTGACATTCAGGAATACTTTTCTGTACACATAGTCGTTTTCATTTTATGTTATATTCCTCCATCATCCCATGGTTAATTTTTCCCTCCATCTTTTTTTCATCTCTATCCCAGAAAGAAGAAGGAATTGAAATAAAGTGATACAAGGGAAAAATCATAAAGTCCAGAATCATTTCTCAAATGTTTGTCCAACATTTTGCAAGCTGGAATACAGTCCTAGAAAAATGTCCATTATGTCATTGCAAAATGCTTCTTGTTTCAGCCTGCAGGTGGCAGGGTTACACCATCTATCAAATAGTATGACCTTCTATCCTGACTCTTGCATTCTCTGTGTTTCTGAAATAAAATGAAGGGGCCTTGGTGTTCTTTGGGCTTGGTTGTTTTCTTCAGACATTTCATTACTCAAGCTAGGTAACAACAGCTGGTGATGTTACCTAGTTTGGGTAATTAAACATCTGTAAGAAAACAACCAAGCTCAGAGAGCACCAAGGACTTCACAATCTTCCTCCACCTCTTCCTCTCTCAAATCCCATTCCCATCTAGCACTAATAATGTTACCTAGTTTGGTAATGAAATGTCTGCAAGAAAACAACTAAGCTCAGAGAGTACCAAGGACTTCACAGTCGTCGTCCTCTTCCTCCTCTTCTTCTTCCTCGTCTTCTTCCTCCTCCTCCTCCTCCTCTTCTTCCTCTTCCCCTCCTCCTGTTCCCCCTCCTCTCCACAAATTCCACTCCCATCTAGCACTGATGACATCACCTAGTTTGGTAATGAAATGTCTGCAACAAAACAACCAAATTCAGAGAGCACCAAAGGACCCCACAGTCGTCATCGTCCTCCTCCTCTTCCTCCTCCTCCTCTTCCTCCTTCTCCTCTTCCTCCTTCTCCTCTTCCTCCTCTTCCTCTTCCTCTTCTTCTCCTCCTCCTCCTCTCCACAAACACCATTCCCTTTTAGCACTGATGACATCACCTAGTTTGGTAATGAAACGTCTGCAACAAAACAACCAAATTCAGAAAGCACCGAGGACCCCTCATTTCAACCCTGAGCTACAAATATTCTCCTTCATAGAAGAAATAAAGTATTCTGCCCTCTGATGCCCACCCAGATGTGCTTGGATGTACCAGCCAACATAATCTCCCTACAGCTTATTTTACAGTGCTTAAAGGATGAGGGGGGAAGCAGGTCAAACTTTTGAAGAATTCACTTTGTTTTGGGATTGTATAGTGAGATACCCATCTGAGATAGCAACATTGTCACCTGTTCCTGCTCCTAAGTAGTTTGAATGTTAGCTTGAATACCGTGCTTAGAATAAAAAACTGTTTTAAGCTCCAGACCCAAGACAATATGGTGCTGTTTTAAACCTGATGAAAACGGGAAGAAAAAGAAGGTTGGAGGTATGAAATGATGGCTCAACTATGCTAGGATTGCAAAACACAGGAACATGGCAACGAGACACCTTCTCATCTCTGACTGCAAGATCTCTTGTGCCACCACTGCAGGCTCAATGCACCTTCATGTGGTTTACTAAGAATTTGGCATCTTTTGGGGTCCTGTGAATGACCGATGTTTGACAGAGGTCTGCAAGAAACAGAGCCTTTCTAAGGATGGTGTGATAACCCAATTCCAATTGTGGCAGTTGAAGGAGGGTTGGGATTCTACCGGTTCGCACCTATTCTCTAGAACCGGTTGTTAACATTCTAAGCAGTTCGGAGAACCGGTTGTTAGAAGAAATTACTGGCCTAATCCTGTAAGGAAGGCAGGAAGGAAACATTCTGGTGTTGCTTACAGAAACTGCCTCTCCATTAACCCTGATTACATTGTTGGCAGGACTAGACTTCCTGTCTTAGGAACTTCTCTAGAGTTTTTTTTCCCCTTCTTTGCTGGTACTTTGCTTGTGTGGAGTGACCATTCAAAGTTACAATGGCTCTGAAAAAAGGGACTTACGGCCATTTTTCACACTTATGACTGTTGCAGCATCCCCACAGTCCTGAAAGGCCAGGCGAGGAGATGCGTGCCTCGATGTGAGTGATATTGAGTTGGCCACGCCCAGCCAATAACATGACCACCAAGCCACGTCCACCCAGTCACATGACCACCAAGGCACGCCCGCCAACTAAGCCATGCCCACAGAACCAGTTGTTAAAAAATTTGAATCCCACCCCTGAGTTGAAGTCCACATATCTTCAAGCTGTCAAGATTGAGAAGCATTGATTTAGATCAATGAACCAAGGTTGCTTGCAGGTCAAAAGTATCAAGAAAAAGTGGGGACTTCCGGTTTGAAAGGCTTCGGCGGCGGTAGGAATCCGCGAACATGCGCGGTTCCTGCTGCGCTCGCCACTGGCGTGCCCCCGATCCAGCTGGATTTGGGGGTTAATAGTCACCCTGTAGAGGTGACTGAAGAAGAAAAAGTGGGCAGGACTTTGATCAGATAAGGGGCGTGCATAAGTGCACCATCGTACCTCCCGTCCCTGTCCTATTGTCCCCATTTAATCACACCTATTTCCTGTATTCTTACTCATGTTTATACTTATACCTATTATTTTGTAAGCGATTGACAAATCAAATCAAATAAATAAATCATATCCACCCACTTCACTTCTTTGATACACACATACACGCATACACCCCAAAGCCACCTATAATAAACATAGCATAATCTGAAGGTTCTTCTGGATTCACGACACCTGCTCAAGGAGCCAGGTGGTAGTTGTGGCTAAGAGGGCCTTTGCACAAGTACAAGGTTGTGCATCAGTGATGGCCTTTCCTGGACCAACAAGCCCTGGCCCACAGTCACCCACCCCCTACTCATCGGAAGCAGGACCCTCATCCGAGTCCTCTCCAGAACTCATCCCTGACTGCTCCCCATTCTTCCTCACTGTCCGATTCTGCTGCCATCTGCACCGGCTGCCGGCGAATCACAACAAAAGCTAGTTATGACCTCATTTTGAAGTTACAACAGCCCCCCCCACACACACACACATACTCATGGTGGCAAACGGACTCACCTTAATGGCTATTTCACAGTCACATGACCGTAATTTTTGATGAATTGTTTTGTCCAATTTCCGGCCTTTACTTCCTTGTTTCCCAGCAAAAATAAATAAAACACCCATTGCATAAAATAAATTCACATCATTCCTTTAACAACTGCTGCAAAAAAGAGAGAAAGAAAATGCTGTAAAATGGAGTCCGGTCACATAAGCGACCCATTTTAATAATGATTTACAGTCATAATTCCAGGCTCAATTATAGTCATGTAGAGGACTTCCTCTATAGCTATGGGACAAACAGTGTCTGTGAGATCCTAGACTGTATTGGCTTTTCAGGCCAGGGATACCCATAAAAAAAGAGTCCAAAAAGTTAAGATGGCTACAGCCTTGCAGTTAAAGGCAGTGGTGGGATTTAAAAAATATATTACTGGTTCTAGAAGAGCATGTTTTGTGTGCTATGTGTGCACGCATGCAGCATTCAAAAAGCACCCATTTTAAGCTTAAAAACTTTTCTTCTACCCAGAGGTGGTAT